AAAAAGTGTCCCTTTAGGTCAAAAGCGGTTTAGATCAGCTAGAGAACAGCGATAGTAAATCAGAACCACTTGCAGAATTGAGTGATAATGATTCGTGGGGGAAATTCCTCATCAGACTCTGAAAACGATTTTGCGACTTTGCTCAGCGATGTGCGAACTTGGCGCTCTATTTCACATTTCAGTGTTTTTGGTTTGATTATATTATTGAATTAAATTTTTTTATTATTTTTATATTATTTTTATGATTATTTATTAAATTATAATTTATGATTTTGTGTTTCAAATTTTATCATATCCGGGATGTTTACTAGACTCTTGTTCGGACAGATTTCAGTGAGTTTATTCCTAAAAATTACAGCCTACAATAAAAAAAAAATACATATTTCCATGCAAAAAAATGGTACCCCGCTTTCAGCACCAAAAATCTGAAATAATCATACCGCCAGGGAGGTTAATAAGGATGGTATCATTATCTGTGTAGAGTCACATTAAAAACGCATGTTTTTCAGCATTTTTAGATTTGCACTAGCGATTGGCATCATTTTTCTGCATTTTTCAACGTGTGAGGTTTTTAGCATTTTTTTAACCCAAAAAAATAGTTTTTGCTCACAAAAGTCCAAAAACGCTGGTTTGCCACGTTAAAGCATTTTTACAGCTAAAAAACTTCTCTAGAAACCCACTAGTTCCAGCCCAAAAAATGCCCCTGTCCAAAAACGCTTATTACAGTCTATGTGTGCATGGACACATAGGATAACATGCGGGGGGGTTTACTGGCTGTACAAAAAAAACGTCAAAAGCCAAAAACAGCCGCTGTAAAAACGTCCCGTGTGCAGGAGGACTTATCAGCTTTTTTTGGCTGGGGGGGTTTTCAGGCTGGAAACATGGAAACACCCCCCCCCCCATTACTTTTGAAGAGAAATTTCTCAGCTGTTAGCCCTCATGCACACGGGACTTTTTGATAACGCTGGTAACGGGTGGACTGACAACTCATAGGGCCCCTGGGCAATAGGGGATCATGGGGCCCCTGTGTCCTTGCCCAAACTCAAAAAAGCCTATGAAAAAGGTACCAGGGGCATCTCATGGGGCCCCCTACTGACCCCGGGCCCTCGGGCAGTGCCCGAGTTTCCAAATGGTCAGTCCACCCCTGGCTGGTAACATTAGCAGTGTAAAGTCACGTTAAAAATGTCTTTCAGCTTTTTTTTTTAGCATTTTTGCATTAGCGTTTAGCAGCGCTTTTCCGTGTTTGTATTTTTTTAGCAGTTTTTTTACCACAAAAAAATTTTTTTTGGTCAAAAAAAATGCTCAAAAGTACCAGTTTACGCCGTTTTAAAGCATTTTTCAGTGTTAGAGTGTTTTTACAGCTAAAAAACTCCACTAGTTCTGGGGTTTTTACCAGCCAAAAAAACGTTGATTCCAGTCTGTGTGTGTACGGACACATAGGATAACATGCGGGGGGGTTTACTGACTGTAGAAAAAAACATCAGAAGCCAAAAACAGCCGCTGTAAAAACGTCCCGTGTGCGTGGGGACTTATCAGCTTTTTTTTGGTTTGGGCGTTTTCAGGTTGGAACACCCCCCCCCCCCTGGAACTACTGCATTTGAAGAGAAATTTTGCAGCTGTAAAAACGCTCTAACACTGCAAAGGGCAGCTATCCGGCGTTTATGAGCATTTTTGATCCTCAAGCTTTTTGTGGTACTATCATTTTTCTAAAAAACACTAATAAAATGGAAATGCTGAAAAAACTCTAAAAACACTTACCATATTTTTTGCTCCATAAGACGCACATAGGTTTTAGAGGAGAAAAACAAGAAAAAAAACATTCTGAACCAATGGACTGTGGACATAGTACAGGAGATGACCAGAGACTGCGGACATAGTACAGGAGATGACCAGAGACTGCGGACATAGTACAGGAGATGACCAGAGACTGCGGACATAGCACAGGAGATGACCAGAGACTGCAGGCATAGTACAGGAGATGATCAGAGACTGCGGACACAGTACAGTGGATGATCAGAGACTGCGGACACGGTACAGGAGATGATCAGAGACTGCGGACATAGCACAGGAGATGACCAGAGACTGCAGGCATAGTACAGGAGATGATCAGAGACTGCAGACACAGTACAGGAGATGACCAGAGACTGCAGACACAGTACAGGAGATGATCAGAGACTGCGGACATAGCACAGGAGATGACCAGAGACTGCAGGCATAGTACAGGAGATGATCAGAGACTGCGGACACAGTACAGGGGATGGCCAGAGACTGCGGACACGGTACAGGAGATGACCAGAGACTGCGGACACAGTACAGGAGATGACCAGAGACTGCGGACACAGTACAGGGGATGGCCAGAGACTGCGGACACAGTACAGGAGATGACCAGAGACTGCAGACATAGTACAGGGGATGACCAGAGACTGTGGACACAGTACAGGGGATGACCAGAGACTGCGGACACAGTACAGGGGATGACCAGAGACTGCGGACACAGTACAGGAGATGACCAGAGACTGCGGACACAGTACAGGGGATGACCAGAGACTGCGGACATAGTACAGGAGATGACCAGAGACTGCGGACATAGTACAGGAGATGACCAGAGACTGCGGACAGTACAGGAGATGACCAGAGACTGCCGACACAGTACAGGGGATGACCAGAGACTGCGGACACAGTACAGGGGATGACCAGAGACTGCGGACATAGTACAGGAGATGACCAGAAACTGCGGACATAGTACAGGAGATGACCAGAGACTGCGGACAGTGCAGGAGATGACCAGAGAGACTGCGGACATAGTACAGGGGATGACCAGAGACTGCGGACACAGTACAGGAGATGACCAGAGACTGCGGATGACCATAACTACAGGGGATGACCAGAGACTGCGGACACAGTACAGGAGATGACCAGAGACTGCGGACACAGTACAGGAGATGACCAGAGACTGCGGACATAAGAACAGGGGATGACCAGAGACTGCGGACAGAGTACAGGAGATGACCAGAGACTGCGGACACAGTACAGGGGATGACCAGAGAGACTGCGGACACAGTACAGGAGATGACCACTGCGGACATAGTACAGGAGATGACTGACTGCGGACACAGTACAGGGGATGACCAGAGACTGCGGACACAGTGCAGGGGATGACCAGAGACTGTGGACACAGTGCAGGAGATGACCAGAGACTGCGGACAGTGCATGGGATGACCAGAGACTGCGGACAGTACAGGAGATGACCAGAGACTGTGGACAGTGCAGGGATGACCAGAGACTGCGGACAGTGCAGGGGATGACCAGAGACTGCGGACCTTTAGGAAGGGAGGGGGAGCGGGTCCCTGAATTTGACAAGTACCCGCTCCCACTTCCGCAGAGTTCTCCTTCCTGTACTGTGGGCACCCGACTTTGACAGCCGGGAGCCCACTGCGCATGTGCGAGAAGCGCTGCGCTTTGTGAATGGCTCGGCGTCTTTTGGGACCTGCGCATGCGCAGTGGACACCCTGCTCTCACAGATGTCGGGGCGGGAAGAAGCCGGCGCGGAAAGACTACAGTGCTGGACCGAGGAACAGGTGAGTTCCTGCCGCAGAGAACAGCTGAGTGGAAATACCGGACCGGCCACTTTATATTTGCTCCATAAGACACACTGACATTTTCCCCCCTTTTTTTGGGGGGAAAAAGTGCGTTTTATGGAGCGCAAAATACGGTAAATATGCTAGTACAAAAATGCTAAGAAAATGCATCAAAACTTGCGTTTTTAATGCGTCATTCTACAGCTAACGTGCATGAGACTTAAAGACCTCTGACCCTCATTGAAAGAGTCATTCTCAGTGCAGCTAAGTATGTGAAATAAAAACCCTTTCATGAGTAAGACTGCAAAAAATATCCAACAAATTAATCTTTAAATTATTGTCCAAGGAGCCCATCCGCTTTTTACTAGGCCTACCTTTTCCAGGCCTCTCCAAACTTGCCAAGAAGCTATCCTCTCATGTTTTAACCTCCCTAGCAGTCTGATTATGTCCATATTTCTGTGCTCAAAGCGGTACTTTTTTTACATGAAAATATGTAGTTTTTTTTTATTGTAGGCTGTAATTTTTAGGAATAACTCACTGAAATCTGTCCGAACAAGAGTCTAGTAAACATCCCGGGGATGATAAAATTTGAAACACAAAATCATAAATTATAATATAATAAATAATCATAAAAAATAATAATATATAATAATAATAAATGTAATTCAATAATATAATCAAACCAAAAACACTGAAATGTGAAATAGAGCGCCAAGTTCGCACATCACTGAGCAAAGTCGCAGAATCGTTTTCAGTGTCTGATGAGGAATTTCCCCCACCAATCATTATCACTCAATTCTGCAAGTGGTTCTGATTTACTATCGCTGTTCTCTAGCCGGTCTAAAACCGCGTCTGACCTAAAGGGACGCTTTTTGGACGCCATGGACGTTTCTCAGTTTCCAGGCAGTAAGAACAGTAAAAATGCAGGCAGGGCGCCGGACAAAGCACTCGGGACAAAATGTATGTGAAATGGTTTGATACAGGAATGGAATACTATCAGATTTTAGTGTATTAAGTGTATGTAAAATTTTGACATTTTTGAATCTCCCGCCGGTTCTGCCCCCGTACATCCTGAAGCTCGTAGGGAACGGAACCTGGAAGACGGAGGACATGGCCAGGGACGCAACGGGAGGACAGAACGGGACCGCAGGACAAGGTAAGTGATCCAGGAGTCCATGCAGGGTATTCCCGAATGTAGTTCGGGGTTACCGCTTCTGGTACTGAAACTTAACCCCGAGCTACACTCGGGAAAACCACCAGGGGGTTAAATTATTGTCCAAGGAGCCCCTCCACTTACCTTTTCAAGGCCTCTCTAAACTTGCCAAGAAGCTATCCTCTCATGTATTTTTTTTTTTTTGATCTCCCAATATGTGCAATTTTTATTTGTTGCAAATTCAAGTCTCTTGTTATCAAAATTTAACATTATACAAGCAAAACAGCGTTGATACATCCATCGTTTTCTGGATTGTTCGTGATCTGTCCATATTTTCCCCAGATAACTTTGCCGCCTTGCGTGACAAGACCCAGCTCACTGACATTCACTTCAATCACTGTGCCTTTTGTGATGACACCCAAGCTTGTATAAAGTGGAGAGGAAGGATTCTTTTTTACCCCAAGGATAGGGAGACAAAATGTGGCTTTTAATTCTGGATGTGTCACGTGTGCCTTTTTAAAACGCAAGCCCATTGGTCTAATAAATCTTCCATATTTAGGTGGTTTTCGGGTGAATCCAGGGGCGGACTGACCATTTGGGAACTCGGGCACTGCCCGAGGGCCTGGGGTCAGTAGGGGGCCCCATGAGATACCCTTGGTACCTTTCATAGGCTTTTTTGGGTGTGGTTTGAGTGTGGGTGAGGACACAGAGGCCCCATGATCCCCTATTGCCCGGGGGCCCCATGAGTTGTCAGTCCGCCCCTAGGTGAATCCATCCCAACAAAGCAGACTTTGGTGACCATTCTCTTCCAGGCTTTCTTCTTTCTCTTTCCTGTGTGGATAACTTTAAGCACTTCTGTTTCTCCCTGAGCACGCACTTTGGGTAAAGGAACTTCCCACTTGCCTGCTTTTTCTTTTCCCTTTTGCTTGATCATATTGGAGAGAACTTTGGCTCGGCTCTGCCCTTCTCTGTCCAGTAGATAAGCTGGTATAGCTCCTTCTGGTGTCTTCTTGTAAGGGTGTGACGCATGGATTAATACTGGTCTGTGTAATGTTAAACTGCAATATGCTCTTTGGTCAGTAGATGGCAGCAAAGTACAAGAATCGATTTTGTAGTGACTTTTGCTAAGACAAGATAAATGCTTATTTACCCTATAAAGTTTAATGAATACTAATTTAGGGGCCGAGTAGGACCCTCAGACGGGTCATAGTGAACTGTAAATGCAGGTTTGAGGCTGCAATTAAGAAATGACTTACTGCATCACAAACTCTATGGGAAGGGGAGGAGTTCCTGTGCTGAGGAGGAAGTGGAGTCTGGGTCTGGCTGTTGGATGCTGAGGACGTCTGGAGAATCTGTGTGGGGCCTGGAAGAGGATTTACGGCTCACAGTGGAATCTGGCGAGGGCACCTAAGGAAGATTCACAACGAGACCAGGAAACAAGTGACTGTATGGTTCGGTTCCAGAGTGGGTCAGGAGAAAGCACCAAGAGCCTGCCAGGGAGCTGTAAGTGCGGCTTTGCCGCAGCACATCACACCACACGTGGTCAGTGACATTTTGGATATACCAGAAAGTTACAAGAGACACACTCCACTTTCCTTTGGATTACAAATAGTATTGCGCAATACTTAGGGTGCACCCCAACGTTATATCTTGCTCAGGAACATTCAGTCGCAGCCAGGCTGCTTTCTGGACATTGGGGGAAAGTCTGCAAGTACGGGGTTAGTGTTAGACAGTATTATTCTTACTGTATGGTTATGCGCTGTTATCATTCTGTTTACGTATGCTCAACTACATGATCACTATAACTGTTCAGTAAACGTAATTGTTTTAAAAGAAACCGCTGTCTGTGTCTGTGTGGCATCGTGTACCCTCTGAATCTGTGGGCCCAGCCCTCGGTCTTCCTTCATTCTCATCATTCTTCTGTTTGGCATTCCTCTTCTCATGCATTTTGATAGTTTTCTTCATCTGTATTTTCTCGGCATGTCGCTGCTTGTGGTACAGTTTGGCCTTCAGTCCAATGAGTTTCTTTGCTTTCTGTGACCTTTCATGAGCCTCACGGCTCTCCTTCTTCCTCTTCTTTTCATGGTAGTCCAAGCGATAACCGTACCGCTTACGGTGCAATTTGATGTAGTCCTTCTGAGGCCTGATGTCGGTCTTGTACCCCCGGCTCTTATTTTCGGCCTCCTCTCTCAGCAGATGGTACACAGAGCCCAAAGACCCTCCGGGCCACCGCCACCGTGCAACGATGGTATCAGAAAAGGAAAAGCCCTCTTATGTTTTATCAGCGGCCAGGAGAACCATTCCCATGCATTGGCTATCTACTACGCCTCGTACGCGGCCGGAATTGGTGAAGGTTATAACAGAAATGATTGATAAAAAAAAAATCAGTGAAGCAATAAAACAGCGCAAAACATGAAATGAATCAAAAATAATTATACACAAATCATAATAAATGATAAAATAAATGTCCAAAACCATTTATTTATTGTATAACCGCAGAATTTATTAGGGTTTATGTATAATTATTTTTGATTCATTTCATGTTTTGAGCTGTTTTATTGTTTCACTGATTTTTTGATTTTTATCAATCTTTTTGATTCTTATGAAGGCACAGCAGCATTCACTTTCACATTTTTCACACAGTTCTTGTGGCGCAGGTTGTTTTTGTTTCAGTATAACAGAAATGAGAAGAATGGAGTACCTCACTGCATGCTGTCCTCATCTTTGAAGCAGTTCGGGAACAGTGGGATCTTGCCGTTTCCGATTTGTCCACTTAATTGTCTGAAAATACTAATTAATTCTTATGCACTGACATTGTATGTATCCATTTGCCTTTCATCCATGAGTCTATCTTATTTTTTTTTTTACATTTGACTTGTGATTGTTATTTTATATTTCTATGCAATTTTGTTTGTTGTAAGCGCTTTGAAAATCAATAAAAAGTAAATTATTTAAAAAAAATCTTACAAAGCCCACACTGAGGGGCAGGGGACAGCTCATATCTGTTGGTTATGTGTTAGAGAAGACACTAGTAGTTTGTGATGAGGCAGAACTCTGACTTTACTTGTGTGGCTTAAGTTGTAAACATACAAAGCACATTTCAGCAGACAGTGATAGCAGACATCTTGTTTTGAGAGAGAGAGAGGAAGAGAGAGAACCAACAAGTTTTACACATATGGACAACTAGTAACCTTAGTGTACAGTGTCATCTACTGGTCAAGTGATATTAACACACGGTACTATATAGTACATGCTGTTGCATTCCCAACAATATCCCCCCCCCATCTTTACCCCTCATGTATGCTCAGTGTTAGCCACCCGTCCACCTCTCTGCCACATCTCCCCCCCCCCTTTTTATTTTATTTATTTTTTTTTTTAATTTTTAATTGTCTTCCCTCCTCTTCCCCCTCTTTTATTTCCATCTCTTTTCCTCTTTTTTTGGGGTCCCCTGATTATCGGATTAGCCAAGTCATGGGAGGACAGCATTGGCCACAGTGCAAATAGTTGAACTTGGTATTGCCCTGTTGCAGTTGATGCCTCTGCCAGTTGAAAAATAGAAATTGCGGTTTCCGATATCGGGGGGGCTACAGGCCATCACACGTTTATAGGATTTTCTGTAACGATCTCAATGTCCATTGTTGTCCATGTTTCTTTAACTTTCAGAGATTTGATTTGTTATCGTAAGAATAACATATAGTGTGAATACGCTAATACCAATCTTCCCAAAAGTATATATCCCACAAATATATATAAAAAAAAAAAAAAAGGTCCAAAAAAAGGCTAAGAAGTACAATTAAATAAATATAGTTATATTTATTTAATTATACTTCTTATCCTTTATTTTGGACTTTTTTTTTCATATATATTTGTGTGATATATACTTTTTGGGAAGATTGGTATTAGCATATTCATATTCACACTTCGTCTCTACCTCTGAAGAAGTGTGTGCGCACGAAACGCGTCAGTCGAGCCCAGGACGTCGTGACGTCACGCCGCCGGTGCCACGTGGAGGCCCGGCGGCCTTCTTAGATATTGGATGGTCAGTCATTCGTATTTACCTGACACTGCGATTTATTGCATCCCTGCTATACTTGCTTTAATAAAGATTTAACTTATATACTACACTATGAGTATTTCCCTCGGTCTCCTGTGAGGAGCTTTTCAATTTTCAGAGCCCTGATGTGATCCATCAGCTCCAGAGAGGGGAACGTTTTTCACCATCAAGGATTTCTTATCTACACATCCCTGGAAGGGGATTTCTGGCTTTCTGGATCCCATCTTCACCACGCGAGGGCGCTTCTGCCTCATTATCTCCAGTTTCATTCCATATTCTGACCAGAGAGAGGGGGGATCTTCAGGATAATTACACACCGCGTATTTTGAATACGCTTCTGGTTAGTGCGCGTTTCTACCATATGCATTGGGAACACAGAGAGCACCTTCACAGAACTTTATTTCATTTTCATTTTTATTTTACTATATTGTTTGTGCATTTGTATCATTGGCACCCTCTATTTGTCAGCGCTGCATTTTACATTTTTATACCTTACTTCTATGTTGCAGTACTTTACCTGTATGTGAAAAGGGAGGGAGGTGCAGCGCTATATATTCAGACAAATGATAAATGATTACACAATAATAAATGGTGACTGTAAGTTAGTAATGCCACTGAATGGTGGCTATAAGGTGAAGAGAGTGAAAACAGTCCAATGAAGGGGTGCTCTTAAGATCCAGGGTGATCTTCAGACGTCCAATATACAGGACCATCAGGTGATAAAATATAAAGACTGCGCACTCACCAGATACGCAATCTTTATGCGCATTTGTGTGAAATATCACTAGACCTCCTGTGTCATCATCCTGGTCTGGTCAGATCTGGTCAGCATATCCCTCATGGCCTGGTACCTGGACGGATGCAGCTGTTCTGTAGATTTGGCCGGTTCCCACCAGAACTTTCTTTCTGAAGATGTTCCTGTTTGTTTCAAACAAACAGGAACATCTTCAGAAAGAAAGTTCTGGTGGGAACCGGCCAAATCTACAGAACAGCTGCATCCGTCCAGGTACCAGGCCATGAGGGATATGCTGACCAGATCTGACCAGACCAGGATGATGACACAGGAGGTCTAGTGATATTTCACACAAATGCGCATAAAGATTGCGTATCTGGTGAGTGCGCAGTCTTTATATTTTATCACCTGATGGTCCTGTATATTGGACGTCTGAAGATCACCCTGGATCTTAAGAGCACCCCTTCATTGGACTGTTTTCACTCTCTTCACCTTATAGCCACCATTCAGTGGCATTACTAACTTACAGTCACCGTTTATTATTGTGTAATCATTTATCATTTGTCTGAATATATAGCGCTGCACCTCCCTCCCTTTTCACATATATGTTATTGAAGGTTTGATACGGTGCCTTTTCTGGTGTACAGCCGCTACCTATTATACAGTATCACATAAGCGCTCACTTATCTTTTGTTTCTCTTGAGTACTTTACCTGTATTTGCTGTTTTATTCCAATAAAATGTATTTGGATTAAAAAAAAAAAAAAAAAAAAAGATTGTCCAAGACATTTTAGAAATATTGAATTTTAGTCCAATCATGACTGGCTCTCTTAAGATGAGCAAATCCTGTAATCAGGGAGGGGGGGGTCAGATCTTCCGATTACTTTACTAGCGAAAATGACTTTACATCGATGGACCTTCAGCCGGCGTAATCATGAAACAGAAAATAACAGATGTAGACATCCGATTTCAACCAACAGCATCTCCCTTGAGGTATTCAGGGTGGAGCAGGTGAATCTAGACAGGCAAAGATTTCCCCTGATTCCGTCCGCTCTACTGAAAGTGGATGGGCGACAAAACCCACAGTAGCATAATTGATGTGGTTGATTCTGTGGTTTAATTGGCTAAAATCAATGTCAGTCATTCCTTCTAACCAACGGAAAGCCACTGCTCACTCAGTCATTCCTCGGTAATCATTTCCATAATGTTCTACTGAAGACTTTGCGGAATGCAGACATGGCAGAGAATGTATATCATTTATTATTTATTTATTTCAGGTACTTATATAGCGCCGTCAATTTGCTCAGCACTTTACATATATATTGTACATTCACATCAGTCCCTAACCCTCAAGAGTGTACAATCTAAGGTCCCTAACTCACATTCATACATACACATACTAGGGACAATTAACCTGCCAGCATGCCTTTAGACCCATATGGAAGAAAAATACATTTGAAATATATTTAAAAAAAATTCTTCCCAAATATATTGACATATATTTGAAATACTACATTTCTACCATATTCAATATATTTAATGAATAATATATATATATATATATATATATATATATATACACTGCATGTTGAAATGCATTTTTTATATACTGTATTACAAAATACATGAAAACTATTTTTACATTTTTTGTAAAAAAATGTTAAATATATTTTTCAGATTTTTTTTAACATTTAAAAAAGTCATTTTAACATATATTTTTTATATATATTTGTAAATGCATTCCACAAATGTAGATTCGTATTTTTAAAAACATACAGTATATTTGAAAATGTATTTTTAAAAATATTTTTCATATATTTTGTAGAAAGCAATTTTTGGAGAGGTAGGAGAGCTCCAGAAGCTCCAATCTTCAGAACCTCCCAGCCTGTACTGAGGTGACCTCACTACCTCACTCACAGGCTGACTCATCCCAGGCTGCTACTCAGCCTCTGTCTGAAAAAAATAAAAAACAAACCGCCTATCTAGCTAACCTGGAGGGTGTTACATCCAAATTCAAGAATAGATAAGTCAAAGCCAGGGTGAACAACAGATGGGAGGAGCGGAATTGATTCAGAAGGGCAGTCATAGTCAGAGAAAGGCAAGGGTCAGCTGGTAGTGATATGAAGAATCAGCAGGCTTGAGTGTTGCTGGGAAAACAAGCCAGGGTCAGTAGCTGCAATAAATGATAAGGTATAGACAGAGCAGGAAAATTCAAAGATGGATTAGGAGCTGGGTCGATATAGACCTCAAAAAGAGGTCTGCATCGCAGGTCACAGAAAAACTGTTGAAGACCATTCAACATTAAGCCTAGTGTCACATATATGGTAGAAGCCAAGCTGATAGGGCTTCCCTTCACACCTCCTGTCCTGTTTTTCCC